TCCGCGTTGCCCCAAATAAAGAACAGGTTCACCAATTGTGGTATACACATGAAACTCAGCATGAAGAAGCTGGCTGTTAGAAAACGAAGTTGGGAGAGCCCGCCTCTTTTGCCGGGACTCTGTAGCGGGTCGGGCCAGACGCCGATAAGGCCCAAATTGAACCGATTCCATCCGATCGCGAAATTCAAATCTACGCAAATCGAATCTGCGTGAAGATTCGATTAAAAAGGCAGTATTTCGGCATATACGTGAAACATATGATATCGATAGTTTCTTCTTAGATTTTATATAGATATATGATATTATGATAAACGTGAGAAATGACAATTTTATACAATATAACGAAACAATTTGCATAAAATGCATGAACATAGCGTTTCTTTTCTACCGCGTGTACCTCGATCAGCATCCATCGATATTTAACGGATGTCGACGGCACAACGACTGACATAATATTTTTGCTGTCGATTTCTCCCCTCATCCCTTCTCTCAGGGTCACGCATGCTCCGATACGGAAAATGAAGTTATCCTGCATACGAACGTTCTAAAGTTGAGTCGCAGAAGGTTTGTGCGACGACGCTCCCGAATCGATTTATTCGCTGAAAATTTACTTATGCTTATTCAACAAAGATAATAAGAGATAGTAAATTACAATATCGTTAAGCAGAGACAAGTAAATAGCTTGTATTACGCATAAGCATGTTCTGTCAGGAAAAGTAGATAAGTTGCAGGCGGTATGTATGAAATTATATATTTGTTCGTTAATCATAAAAGTCGCTTGATACTTAGTTACGCAGTGTTCGTAGTCGTATAATTTCCATTTATTGTAAATTTATGTTATTTCCATCAATTTCTCATTGTCAGCAAGGCAGACAGGTATCTCATTAATGTCTTTACCACCTAAACAAAATAAAGATAATGAAAAATAAATATTTCGATTATCGTGTACGATAATAATAGATAATTCCTTGAATGCAATATAAAATGCTAACTTGGGACGTGTGTTTCTTTCATGTAATGACTTAACAATTCTTTGCTGAAAAATGATAACGGTAAATAATAAAATTGTTACTTTTGTTGCTTTGTATATATAAAAAATATTGGTTACCAAAATTTTAAGTGTCAAGATAACAGTCATTAATGATTACAATAGAAATTATCAGGCGATATAATAAAAATCCTTATTGTGGACTTATTGAACAATTCAATATTTATAGATTTATAGATTTATAGATATAAATAAAACGATAACTTACTTTTACTATATTAAATATATTTTACTTTTACTATATTTACGATATTAAATAACAAATTTGCAGAGTGCCATCAAGCTGAGATTTGCGAAAGCGACTTGTTTCACCATTATTGTTGTGTTACTATAAGCACAAATTGTATTCATTATTTGCTACAGGAACACATAAAAGATTAGAATACATATAACAAATAAGAAAGAAGTTGATGAAAGAAGTTGAAGAAGTCTGAATAAGAAATTTCAACAAATGTTAGTCAAAGAGATATGTGGATCGGCCCAGATGTCTTATATCGGAAAACAATTCAACACTTGACATTTCTCTAACGCAATTATACTTCGTGTCTCGCCTTTCGAGATTACAAAGGTAATATCGCTACTTCGTACCTACCAGCCACAATTTTAAAGCCAAAAGTTTCTCAATTTTGTCACTAGGCGCATGAGTGCATGAGCGATCTGTAATTCACAAGGGGAGGAACAGGTGACTCACCCCGGAATTTTGACCCCAATTTTTTTAATTATTCTGGAGATGAAAAAAAAGATACGTGTCCCGGCGTTTGATTGAATAGGCCTTAGTTTCGGAGTAATACATTTATAAAAATTGGCCATATCCGAAGCGTACCGCGGCGCGTTATATGAGCCTTCCCGATAACTGTACTTCCAACCAGTGCAGTTGGCTTCGTGAGTTAGATGCTTGCTTCATAATTCGTAAGATCCAAGTTTGCTCACGGAGGTGAGCAATAAATTTTTTTTTTAATGAGTGTTTTTATTTATTTTTATTTATTTTGATGATATTGATATAGTATGCAAATTTTTGAAACAGAAAATTTAATTTAATATCACATTCTAAACATTAATTTAAATTTAATTTTAAGGGAATTTTAATTCAAGTAATAATATTTGAAATAATAAATAAGTAATAATAATAATAATATATGTTATTTGTAATGGATAACATATAAAGGCAACGTATCTAAATTTTCAAATTGTTTAAATTTAAAATTTAGTTGGAAATAATATTAACAGTATTTTAAATTTCTAGTTTTTAAAATAATTAATCGTAGAAGAAGAAGAATAAACAAACATCTGAAATATGAATATGAATATTTTTATTACAAAATTCAATTATTTAAATATTGCGGATTTATTACAAAATTATTTCGATGCGGAACAATTACTTGGATGATAAACATCATAAAAACATTTAAAGCATATAAATTTTCTACAGTTTGCACAATGAATAAATGAAGGAGTATCACATACACATTTATTTTTCCGTAAGTCCGGGGGGAAACATATTTCATTGACGTTTTGAAACACATTTCTTTCAGGAATTAATTTCGATGCAAACCAAGCGTACTTGATCATATTTGTAAAAGCTCCCGATGATAATTGTGAATAAATTAAAGAATGAATCTTTTTGTACTATATCTTTTTATACTATATCTTTTTATACTATATCAATATCATCAAAATAAATAAAAATAAATAAAAATACTCATTAAAAAAAAAATTATTGCTCACCTCCGTGAGCGAACTTGGATCTTACGAATTATGAAGCAAGCACCTAACTCACGAAGCCAACTGCACTGGTTGGAATTACAGTTACCGGGAAGGCTCATATGACGCGCCGCGGTGCGCTTCGGATATGGCCAATTTTCATAAATTTATTACTCCGAAACTAAGGCCTATTCAATCAAACGCCGGGACACGTATCTTTTTTTCATCTCCAGAATAATTAAAAAAATTGGGGTTGAAATCCCAGGGTGTGTCACCTGGTCCTCCCCTTGTCAGTATCGAAACAGCGCATGTTAGCGGTCACAGTGTCGCGAAAAATGACATGTGGGTAAGGTTTTGTCGCCTCGGCCGGTCAAGTGTATCCGTAGGATGCGGGACAGGTCCGGACGTTGTTGGGCGTCGGCAGAGGGCGCAGTGGGGCGCCCTATCCGACCGAGACGCCCCGTTCTGGTGGGAAGAACAGCGCAGAGTATGTCGGTAATAACTGACAAAAGTTGCTAGATTATGTCTCGGCTCTCGTCCGAGCTCAACATGATATACGGGTCGCACCGTTGAAGAAAATGAGCCCCGCAAAAGGCATGCTTACCGGAGAACGTATCATGCGATCGAGGAGGAAATTTGTCCGTTGCTGTGTAGCGTGGATGACTGCGTCTGTCCGAGACGGGCGGGGGGAGGGGGGCTGGGAGGTAAAATGCGATGAGATTTTTCCAAGCTCCTTAACCGTTTCCATAATTCCTTATTCTCCTTGTCTCTATTATGCGATCTCCTCTTATTCTTCCCCATCGATGATGTACCATGAAGTATTCTTTCTATCCTTACTGAGAATCTCGTTGCAGGCTCGATGTGGCTTGATCGGCACAAAGAAAACGAATGACGGGAACATGGCGACACCGCCGGAGCGGGACTCGCTAGAGTCACGTCTAGTCACGCTTAGTGACAATTTTATCACGCCTAGTGACAAAATTGAGAAACTTTTGGCTCTAAAATTATAGCTGTTAGGTATGAAATAGCGATACTATCTTTGCAATCTCTCGGGCGAGACACTTGTACAATTTAAATCGACCTTCGCCCGCCTTCGGCGGGCTCGATCAATCCTTCAGTGTTACTTTACTAAAACACACATCGAACGTTAATAACATTCAGGTATCGCCTTTGCAGTACTTCACTCACAATATCACATGCGATTATTTGTCATTTTTTTTAGTTAATAATTATAATTTTTAAATGGTTTAAAAATAATAAAGAAAGTTTTTATTGAGTTTGATCTAATCTTCATGTACACGAGAGATTTATATGTCATCGTCAAATACATTGTATAATAAGCAATAAGAATTATTGAAAAAATACTTAAAAGGCGAATTCATTTTCTATAATTCAGGATCATGTCTGTTTCCAATTAATAACTAGTGTTGCGCTTAGATGGTTTTAAAATCATCTCCATGAGATAGTTTTAAAATCATCTGTATGATTTTAAAATCATCTAAGCATACCACTATTAATAACGTAGTGTTTAGATAGTAGCCAAAAAGCTGCGCATACGTTAAAGTTTAATACGTTTCACAATAGATGTAGGAGGAATACGAAAAATTCAAATTTTCATCTGTTGCTAAAATATTTCTAAAAGAGATGTGTAGTAACATTTTGTTCATTTAGTTATATATAAAACAAATAAATGATTCGAAACAATAACATATGTTAAGATTAGGTCAAGATATCCTGAACAAAATTTCCTCTACCATTTTCCTAATAACTTTGTCGATTTTTAATTATTAATTAAAGAAAATTGGATGCTTACTGGCAATAATATGTCCTTATTTCATTAATAAACTAAAAATCTAAGTTATGAAAATAGTAGAAAATTTTTTATATTTAGTTTAACTTAATATACAAGCACATAATGGCAGACGTTGCCATTACAGTTTATTTATATTTCACGTGATTACTCACAAATTTTTTTCAATTAATAAATAGATAATTTTTGCGAATGTCACGAAACGAAATAGGATTTTTGTGTTCACCTCAATCCATACTATGCCTCAACGAGATCTTCAGAAATTATTCTGGAACACCCTGTATATGAATCTCATATATACAAGGTGTCTCAGCTCGATTCAACAATTTCTCATGAGAGCGTAAAGTGAATTGAGGTTAACACAGAAAGTCTTGTATGTTTTGCGGCGATATTTACAATAACTGTCGAGATATTAATTAAAGAAGATTTGTAAATCAAGACGCTCGATATAGTAGATGAGCTACAGTGATATCTGCCGTCGTATGTTTGTACATTAGATCAAACTGAATAAAAAAGTCTTTTATTATTTTGCAATTGACTGCGTAGATCCTTAATTATTAATTAAAAAAGATTTGTATTTTATGTATTATCGCGCTAAACAGTGTAGTAATTTTTTTCAATAAATAATTAAAAATCTACGTGGCTATTTATAATTAAAAATAATTATAAATAATTATAATTAATAATATTTTTAAAGTGGTATTTTATAAGAGTAAGTAAAATGGATTTTATGATTAGTTCAATCTAATATACAAGCAACAATGTAGAATAGACGTTGCTATTACAGCTTATCTACTATATCATGCGTGCTCATCTACAAATCTTTTACAATTAATATCTAGATCATTATTGCGATTTTCGCAAAGCGGTATTTGATTTTTTGTTTATCTCAATTCGATCTACGTTCTCACGAGAGATTGTGAAATCCAGTTGAAATATCTTGTATATTAATGGATATATTAGAATGTATAGATACGCTTCCCGTACATGGACAGCTACTTTTTTAGAGCGAATACACACTTTTCTTGCAGATAAAGGAACAGGTATAGGCTATACAATACTTGCGCTCGTTAAAAGACGAAAGTCTTTGAATCATGAGACGATTTGGTGTCATTTCCACCTGTATTTATTCACTACGTGATATTGACGCATACGGAAAATATATTCATCACATTTTGTCGCAAACGCGCGGTCATTTTTTAATACATTACGCTCAACAATAACGGGTATGTAATAAGCGTTGTTGTAAATACGATAACTATTATTTGAGAGGAGTTACTCTTTGCGTTTTGTTACGGTCAGCAGTACCGACAAGTAACCGAGTGAGGTTTTCACGATCTGAAATAAGATTATAAAATTTGATAGCAGTATAAGAGAAAAAGAAATATAAAATATTCATTTGTAACGTACGCTAAATCGCAATATTTTTCATGTCAGAATATAGGAAGCTGAATTAATAAAGAAAGCATAATAACAAAAAACAATAAAACTTAATAAATTAAAAAATATAAAAAAGGAAAAAAATGATTTTTAAAGTTGATTATACTCTAGATAAAAATATCGTGATTTTATAAAAATTCATGATTTTTAATAGAAAAAAGAGACTTCAAATTGATAAATTAATTTTTTTTAATATATCTATCATGAAAGTTGATAATAGTAATGCGACGAAACTTATTTTTTTTAACGTTAAATTTTATTTACCTTGCTAAACAGTTGCAAAGAAAATACGCCTAACTTTCCTGCAGTTAAAGAAAGTGGGACTGTGGATCTGCTCATGATAAAGAGGAGGCTTCTCGCTTCTTTCCCTGGCACGTTATACCAGTTGGATTCATACGCGGAGAAGCTTATCTCGGTACTCTAAAACATTATTATTGAGTCATTTGGTTACCACTGAGTGCAATAAAGTCAAATTTAATTCACAAATGGCACTTTTTGACTGAGACAATACTGGATATTTAATGTACAAGTATATATTATCTCTTTCTTCTATTCTTCTCATTTTTATAATGTGATTTATTTCTAGTTTTAAAAAGGTGAAGAAAATATTATAATTATCAATTATTAGAGTAGAAAAATTATAACATTTTTTATTCATATTTTTATCACGTAGGCATATTCTTCATTCTGTTATGTCGTTGTGCTCGCGCCAACTCGATAAAAGTAATCAATAATATCCGGCATCGGGTCGTTTCTCCCTGATGAAGCGGACTGAAATGTTCGCAAAACGTCGGAATCAAACAAAAATGAATCCACGCGGCTCAAACCCGGAAACTAAATCTAACAATAATATTCTATTCGTACAGCTGCGTACAAGAGGAAAGACAGGAAATGACAAAAAGTATCGATCCTCGAATGTTGTATACGGTAAGTCGATGGGAAATGTCATAACTGTTTGCGAGGTTCAATTCGAATTCGATTAGAATTATTGGTTTTGTTTTTTGTTATCGTTCCAGGATTATTTTATGAAATTTTTTTTCAAAGTACAAGCCAAACGTTAAGTTTAAAAAGATATCAAATTTCCTTTTCCGTTTTCCGTAACCTCATTATTTTAATAATATGTTTAAAGTTTTTTAATTCTAAACCAAATATAAAGGTTAAAAGAATCAAATTACCTTACGAAAAACATTATTTTAGAGCGTTATATTGATCTTACTCCTCAATTTTCAATATAGAGAGTAGTCCATATAATTCTTTAAATACAAATTACTTTTATAGTAGTTATTTTTCAAAAACAAGATATCTCAGAAATCAGATTGATATCTCAGAAATGAAGAAATTATAGAAATGTATTTCTTATAAAAGTTATAGGATATCGAGGGAGAAAAAAAATAGTAACATTTATTGGACTTTAGAATGACTTTGAAAATCTCTGTCAAGATCAACTGTAATTTTTTAACTGGAATTATGTTATTTTTTTGACAGAAATCGCTTTCTCTGGTCATTATGCGTACAAAAGTATTGGGATAAAATTATCGAAAAATGAATGCTTTCAGAGATATTTCATTCTGTTATTATTCAATACAAAATATGAGATATCTAGTAAACCAATAATTTTTCTTACCTGAATACTTTTGTATGTAGAATGATGAGAGAAATTGATTGGTGATACTAATTTTTGTATACTACTGCGTCAATAAATTTGTAAAATGGAGAGAATTTTACTCAGTTTCCAGTGTTTTACTTTATCGGTCATTTACTGGTTAAAAAGTGAATAATTTACGAGGTCATTTACTGGTCAAATAGTGAATAATTTCATATCTCGTTTTTTAAAAATAACTACTATAAAAATGATGTATATCAAAATAAATAGGATAAAGTTTTTCAAGCTTTTATTTTAAGATCAAATAAATATTACTATCTTTTTTCTTTCGATTCTTTATAATTTTGTTGGAAATATTTTTTTATATCTTTTTTTAATTTCTAAGATATTGAGCTGTGAAAAGTTATGTGAGACACTTATATATTATTGTGTGATATTAAAGTGTTAATTTATTAAAGGATTAATTTATTCGATTTTTAAGAAGAATAAATAAATTTTCTGTTTAATCTATAGAAGTCCTCTCTAAGATAATATTAATCCTTACAAATGGTTACGATGTCTCGAAAATGAAACTCAGAAACTAAAATTGAATTCAAGAGATCTCGATAATCGAGGATTAAGTTTGTGTGTGTTAATCCTTAGCTCTCATATTTTATCATGAATGTCATGTATTACGGAAACAAATGCCAGCACACCAATAAATTACAATATTACTTATAAACGAGAAGCGAGAGTACATAAGTAGCGTTATTATAACATATGATATATTTATATGAAAATATCTTACCTGCATGAGCAACATTTCGCCGACATAACAATAAATATATAAGTGGACTAAGATAAAAGTTATAAAAATAACTAGAAAGATTAACTGGAAGGTTGGTGACTCGTCTCCATTATCGTCATTTATTAATATCTGAAAAATTTCCCTAATATGTTGATTGTAATATATTATTTCTATGATTTCATAAACCAAGTATCGTAAACTGGTATTGTTATATATTATTTCTGTGCTATCATAAACCGAATGTAAACTGATAATTAAAAAACAATATAGTATAAGGCATACACTTCAAACAAATTTGTATGATGGAAAAAAAATTTATTATTTTATATGGTTCGTAAGAAATTAAATAGATATTAAATCGTTAGATATTTAGTTCGTAAGAAAGCAAACGTAAAACGAGTGGACTAATCGAAGCTAAGCGAGGGATGTATTTTTCAAAATTTTTTCGCAAGGATAAAATCAGAATGAGTGTATGTGATAACAAAATCATGAAAGCATCGATAAAAATATCTCGCAAGATAACATAAAAATATAAAAAAATTTATAATGAAATTTATAAACATCTCAGATTTGCATCACTCACATTGAAGACGTGGAAACCTTGAAAGCACAATTGAATAGTACAAGAAAGTATTTGGAATAAGAACAGCATATTGAAAGAGTCTTCAATCCTTTTTGCAAACCTTAAAACATAAATATTTTTTATTGAATATTAATAAAGACAACTTCACGACACAGAAAAGAGAAGAAAAACTATGGTGGATCCCCCATGGCATAAAACTTACGTTCTATTGATCGCAAATTACGAACCAATTCAAATGTTCATGTCTCTTCACGATTTGCGTTAGCTCGTTTCTGAAGTCCTCGGTCGTTTTCACTCCGCCCGAGTCGTCGACGAGGTTCTTCAGTCTTCCTCGCAAATTTTGAAACTGACCACAGACGTGAAGCACCAACATAGAGACGAAACTGTCACTGCCAGTGTAGCTCACAGTCCCGCTGTAAGCCGACAGGATCTGACCTACGCAGATCAATTCGAAGACGGGACTTCGGGTGATGTCGAAGGGAAAATAGGCCGTGCATATCATAAGGCGGGTGGAGTTGTTTCGTTGTAATTTGACGATCATCAAGATTCTAAGTATAATGTACATAGTCAGCATAGTCTGCGTAAGCACCGTGCACCAGATTGATATTTTCCGGACGATCGAGGCATTCCTCAGCATAGCTGTTCTTTCATAAGAAGTTTTCGATGCGTGCCAATCTTGGTAAAAGAACTCGACCAGTTGCTTCAAGACTTTAGAGAAATATTTTATTTTGCATATCTAGACGAAAATATTCATTTCCTTTCTTTCTATGAAAACATAATCCCCCCTCTTCCTGTTCGAATCATTTCATTAAATTCATTAAATAAAACTTCATTTTTCGCGTAATCGTATTTTGCTTTTGACATTCCAACGTCTTGCCTAATATTAAATAATAAAATAATAAGTAATTCATATGATAATGATAACATTAATCTTTACAAGTAGTTTATATTATTAAAGTAAGAAATTTAAAAATAAAGATTAAATTCAATTGATTCTGTTGTTATACGTAGAGTTAAATTTGTTCAAAAAAATTATTATTCTAATTTCACGACAAATTTATGATAAATTTTGCAAATGCAGAGATAATCAATAACAAATTGAAACTAATAGGAACTAATAAAAATCAAGACAATAAAGTTGAAAATGAACCCATAAAAGTTGCTTTTTTAGTTTTACATTATTTAGATTTTACAAAATTTTTTATACATCCAAGTAATATTCTTCGCGTTTGTACCTTTTCTATGACGCCACATAGTGACGGCTTTCATGAAAGCGTTTGCCATTGGGATGTTGGCGATTGCCAAATTCTCGGTCATCATTTCCGCGTTGCCCCAAATAAAGAACAGGTTCACCAATTGTGGTATACACAAGAAACTCAGCATGAAGAAGCTGGCTGTTAGAAAACGAAGTTGGGAGAGCCCACCTCTTTTGCCGGGACTCTGTAGCGGGTCGGGCCAGACGCCGATAAGGCCCAAATTGAACCGATTCCATCCGATCGCGAAATTCAAATCTACGCAAATCGAATCTGCGTGAAGATTCGATTAAAAAAGGCAATACTTCGGCATATACGTGAAACATATGATATCGATAGTTTCTTCTTAGATTTTATATAGATATATGATATTATGATAAACGTGAGAAATGACAATTTTATACAATATAACGAAACAATTTGCATAAAATGCATGAACATAGCGTTTCTTTTCTACCGCGTGTACCTCGATCAGCATCCATCGATATTTAACGGATGTCGACGGCACAACGACTGACATAATATTTTCGCTGTCGATTTCTTCCCTCATCCCTTCTCTCAGGGTCACGCATGCTCCGATACGGAAAGTGAAGTTATCCTGCATACGACCGCTCTAAAGTTGAGTCGCAGAAGGTTTGTGCGACGATGCTTCCGAATCGATTTATTCGCTGAAAATTTACTTATGCTTATTCAACAAAGATAATAAGAGATAGTAAATTACAATATCGTTAAGCAGAGACAAATAAATAGCTTAAGTTAGGCATGTTTTGTCAGTAAAAGTAGATAAGTTGCATGTGGTATGTATGAAATTATATATTTGTTCGTTAATCATAAAAGTTGTTTGATACTTAGTTACGCAGTATTCGTAGTCGTATAATTTCCATTTATGGAAATTTATGTTATTTCCATCAATTTTTCATTGTCAGCAAGGCAGACAAGTATCTCATTAATGTCTTTACCACCTAAACAAAATAAAGATGAAAAATAAATATTTCGTGTACGGTAATAATAGGCAATTCCTTAGAATGGAATAAAAATGCTAACTTGGGTCGTGTTTTTCTTTGAAAACTTAACAATTCTTTGCTGAAGAATGATAACGGTAAATATTAAAATTGTTATTTGTGTCGTTGCTTCGTATATGTAAAAGATATTGGTTACTAAAATTTGAAGTGTCAAGATAACAGTCATTAATGATTACAACAGAAATTATCAGGCGATATAATAAGAATCCTTATTGTGGACTTATTAAACAATCCAATATTTATAGATTTATAGATTTATAGATATAAATAAAACGATAACTTACTTTTACTGTAATATTACATAACAACCAATTTGCAGAGCGCCATCAAACTGAAATTCGTGAAAACGACTTGCTGCATCATTACTGTTGTGTTACTCTAAGCACAAATTGCATTCATTATTTGCTACAGGAACACATTAAAGTTTAGAATACATATAACAATTCTGAATAAGAACTTTCAACAAAAGTTACTCAAAGAGATATATGGATCGGCCCAGATGTCTTATATTGGAAAACAATTCAACACTTGACATTTCTCTGACGCAATTATATTTCATGTCTCGCCTTTCAAGATTATAGAGGTTATATCTCTACTTCATACCTACCAGTCACAATTTTAGAGCCAATAATTTTTAAATTTTCTCACTAGGCACGTTTCTAGCGAGTCCCGCCCCGGCGCTGTCGCGATCTTCTCCCGTCATTCGTTTTCTTTATGCCGATCAAGCCACATCGAGCCTGCGACAAGATTTTCAGCAAGGATAGGAAGAATATTTCATGATACATCATCGATGGAGAAGAGCCGGATCTTTTGATTCCGGCCTTTTTATCATATCTTTAAAATGGTTTAAAAGATCTGTAAAAATTCACGGATATACTTTTAAGTTTCTAGAAAAAATATCTTGTACCTTATTGTGTAAAAAACTAAAATATAGTATATCCAGGACCTTTCAACGTGCTGATAAATTTCTATAAATAGAAACCATCCGGTCTCGAAATACACATGTAGGACCACTAAGGGTTAACAGTGTCGCGCTTTTAGATAGTTTTAAAATCATTTATATGATTTTAAAACCATGTAAGCGTGACACTATTAATAAGGTAGTGTTTAGATAGTGGCCAAAAAGCTGCGCACACGTTAGAGTTTAATACGTTTCACAATAGATAGAAGGAATATGAAAAATTCAAAATTTCATCTGTTATTAAAATATTTCTAAAAGAGATGTATAGCAACTAATGTATAACTAATGTATAACTAAATGACTTTTGGTCATTTGGTTGTATATAAAACAAAAATAAATAATAAATTATGATCCTAAACAATAACATATATTAATATCGGACGATTTGTTTCATTCACAGGTGTGAAGGTTCCCTCTATCGAAGATAGTCGACAAGTGAGAGACGATAACACACGGGGCTCATATAGTCACTGCAACTATTCTTCGATTATCGACCGTCGTTAAGAAAGAAACAAAGTTCATCGAATCTTTGATAACACAGTATTATTGCCAAGTTAATTACATTATAAATGTGCAAATACATTAATGTAACCTCTGTAGTTCATCCTTAAATATATGAATATGTTCTATGAATATTCTTTAGAAATATTTGTAGATTCTATGAATATACTGAAAATACTGTTACATGTTTCTAACATATAAATGAAAATATTGTTATAGTTTATTATTTTCATAGCACACATTTGAATGACATTATAAACGTTTTATGAATGTGAATAGAATATTTATGAAAGCTGTAGAATAACTCTTGATTTAGTCTTTATAATTATAAAGGAATAATTTAAATATTTTATATTTCGTAGATATGCATCTTTACTAAGTTATAATAAATGCATATTACCGCTTGGAACATTAAGAAAACTTTATAATTACATGAATGCAACGTATATGCGCAGTGAGTAAGAACGTTTTTTCTACTATATGCGACTCGTTGTCTGTAATATTGTATGTATATTCATAGAATATCGGATTTAAATATCCTGTAGGAAAAAGAATTCATATTTAACAAGAATATTTATAGAATATTTTATGCTATCTCATTCTCTTAACGGTATTTTGATCGAGAAATATTATTAACACTACGTAATACAATTTAACGACAGTATATTCCGTCAATTTTAGTTGCGACTTGTAACATTATTGTTATTCGGTCGATCTCTCGTTCATCGCTAATAATACCGACAGGTAACCGGCAGACGTCTTCGAGATCTGAAAAAGGAATTGATTGAAAAGAAATTGAAGTTTCTCCTTTTGAAAAATTAAGTAATATAGACTAACACAACAAGTTAAATAACCTAGGTTAAAGGAAAAAAAGAAAGAGGAAGAAAAGAGAATGAGAGAATAAAGGAAAAAATCTAAAAAGTGTCAATACATATTTTGAACATTTTATTTTTATTTAGTAACGTATTGACTGCCATACTGATTATTATCGATTATTTTAAATAATTTTAATTTTTGTGAATGTCACGAAACGATATAGGATTTTTGTGTTCACCTCAATCCTTACTATGCCTCCACGAGATCTTCAGAAATTATTCTGGAACACCCTGTATATGAATCTCATATATACAAGGTGTCTCAGCTCGATTCAACAATTTCTCATGAGAACGTAAAGTGAATTGAGGTTAACACAGAAAGTCTTGTATGTTTTGCGGCGATATTTACAATAACTGTCGAGATATTAATTAAAGAAGATTTGTAAATCAAGACGCTCTCTTCTCTCTCCCTCTCTCCCTTTCTCTCTCTTTCTCTCTCTCTCTCTCTCTCTCTCTCTCTCGATATAGTAGATGAACTACAGTGATATCTGCCGTCGTGTGTTTGTACATTCGGTCAAACTGAGTAAAAAAGTATTTCATTATTTTGCAAATGACTGCGTAAATCTTTAATTATTAATTAAAAAAGATTTGTATCTTATGTATATTATCGCGTTAAACAGTGCAATAATTTTTTTCAATTAATAATTGAAAATCCACGTAGCTAGTTATAATTATAAATAATTATAAATAATTATAATTTATAATATTTATAAGGTAGTATTTTACAAGAGTAAGTAAAATGGATTTTATGATTAGTTTGATCTAATATACAAGTATACAACAATGTAAACATTGCTACTACAGCTTATCTACTATATCATGCGTATTCATCTACAAATCTTTTATAATTAATATCTAAATCATTATTGCAATTTTCGCAAAGCGGTATTTGATTTTTTCTTTACCTCAATTCGATCTACATTCCCACGAGAGATTGTGAAATCGAGTTGAAATACCTTGTATATTAATGGATATATTAGAATGTATAGATACGCCTCCCGTACATGGGCAGCTACTTTTTTAGAGCGAATACACATTTTTTTGCAGATAAAAGAATAGGTATAGGATATACAATACTTGCGCTTGCTAAAAAACGAAAATCTTTGAATCATGAGACGATTTGGTGTTATTTTCATCTGTGTTTATTGACCACATTATATTGACGCATACGGAAAAAATATTCATCACATTTTGTCGCAATCGCACGATCATTTTTTAATAAATTACAATCGCTCAACAATAACGATTATGTAATAACCGTTGTCGTAAATACGATAAATATTATTTGAGAGGAGTTATTCTTTGCGATTTGTTACGGTCAGCAGTACCGACAAGTAACCGAGTGAGGTTTTCACAATCTGAAATAAGATTATAAAATTCGATAGCAATATAAGATATAAAGCAACATAAAATATTTATTTGTAACGCACGCTAAATCGCAATATTTTTCATGCCAGGATATCGGAAGCTGAATTTAAAAAGAAACAATAACAAAAACAATAAAACTTAATAAATTAAAAAATATAAAGAAAGAAAAAAAGGATTTTTAAAGTTGATTATATTCTAGATAAAAATATTTTCATGAATTTTTTAAAATTTATGATTTTTAATAGAAAAAGGAGGCCTCAAATTGTTTAATTAATTTTTTTAATATATCTGTCATAAAAGTTTTAATATATCTGTCATGAAAGTTGATAATAGTAATGCAACGAAACTTATTTTATTTAACGTTAAATTTGATTTACCTTGCTAAATAGTTGCAAAGAAAATACGCCGAACTTTCCCGCGGTTAAAGAAAGAGGGACTGTAGATCTGCACATGATAAAGAGGAGACTTCTCGCTTCCTTCCCTGGCACGTTAAACCAGTTGGATTCATACGCGGAGAAGCTTATCTCGGTACTCTAAAACATTATTATTGAGTCATTTTTTCACCACTGAGTGTAATAAAGTCAAATTTAATTCATAAACGGCATGGAACTTTTTGACTGACACAATACTTGATATTTAGTGTAGAGATATATGTTATCTCTCTCTTATATTCTTCTCATTTTTATAATGTGATTTATTTCTAGTTTTAAAGAGGTGAGGGAAATATTATAATTATCAATTGTTAGAGTAGTAAAATTTTAATATTCTTTATTCATATTTTTATCACGTATGTATATTCTTCATTCTGTTATGTCGTTGTGCTCGCGCCAAATCGATAAAAATAATCAATAATATCCGGCATTGGGTCGTTCCTCCCTGATGAAGCGGACTGAAATGTTCGCGAAACGTCGGAATCAAACAAAGATGAATCCACGCGGCTCAAACCCGGAAATCAAATCTAACAATAATATCCTATTCGTACATCTGCGTACAAGAGGAAAGACAGGAAATGACAAAAAATAACGATCCTCGAATGTTGTATTTGGTAAGTCGATGGGAAATGTCATAACTGTTTGCGAGATTCAACTCGAATTCGATTAGAATTATTGATTTTGCTTTTTGTTATCGTTCCAATATTATTTTATGAAATTTTCTTTAAAAATGCAAACCAAAGGTTAAGGTTAAAAAAAGGTATCAAATTTTCTTTTGTGTTTGTGCGTAACCTTATTATTTTAATAATATGTTTAAAGTATTTTAATTCTAAATCAAATATAAATGTTAGAAGAATCGAATTACCTTACAAAAAAATTACGTTAGAGCGTTATATTGATTTTACTCCTCAACTCTCAATGTAGAGGGTAGTCCATATAATTCTTTCAATACACATTATTTTTATAGTAGTTATTTTTTAAAAACAAGATATCTCAGAAATCAGCTTGATATCTTAGAAATTAAGAAATTATAGAAATGTATTTCTAATAAAGTTATAGGATATCGAGGGAGAAAAAAAATAGTAATTTACTGTACTTCAGAAAGACGTTGAAAATCTCTGTCAAGATCAACTTTAATTTTTTAACTTTAATCATATTATTTTTTCGATATAAATCACTTTATGTGGTCATTACGTGTACAAAAGTATTGGTATAAAATTATAGAAAAGTGAATGCTTTCAGAGATATTTTATATTTCATTCTGTTATTATTTAATACATAATATGAGATATTTCGTAAACCATTAATTTTTCTTTCGTGAATACTTTTGTATGTAGGATGACGAGAGAAATTGATTGGTGATATTAATTTTTACACACTACATTAGTGCGTCAATAAATTTGTAAAATGCACAGATCTTTACTTAAAGTTTCCAGTGTTTTATTTTACAAGAATTGATTTTATCGGTCATTTACTGGTCAAAAAGTGAATAATTTACAAGATATTTCATATCTTGTTTTTGAAAAATAACTACTATAAAAATAATTTGTATTGAAATAAATAGGATAAGGCTTTTCAAGGTTTTATTTTAAGATCAGATAAATATTATTATCTTTTTCTTTCTCGATTTCCTATAACTTTTGTTGGAAACATTTTTTATATCTTTTTTTAATTTCTAACATATCGGGCTGTGAAATTTATGTAAGACACTTATATATCATTATGTGTACGTCATATAAATTGGGTTAATTTATTAAAGGTTTAATTTATTCAATTTTTAAGAAGAATAAATATATTTCTTGTTTAATCTTTAGAAGTTCTCTCTAAGAAAATATTAATCCTTACAAATAGTTAGGATATCTTGAAAATGAAACTCAGAAACTAAAATTGAGTTCAAGAGATCTTGATAATCGAGGATTAAGTTTGTGCGTGTTAATCCTTAGATCTTTTATTTTATCATGAATGTCATGAATTACGGAAACAAATGCCAGCACGCCAACAAATTACAATAATATTACTTATAAACGAGAAGCGAAAGTACGTAAATAGCGTTATTATAACATATGATATATTTACATGAAAATATCTTACCTGCACGAGCAACATCTCGCCGACATAACAATAAACATATAAGTGGACTAAGACAAAAGTTACAAAAATAACTAGAAAGATTAACTGGCAGGTCGGTGATTTGTCTCCGTTATTTATTAATATCTGAAAAATTTCTCTAATATATTGATTGTTATATATTACTTCTATGATATCATAAACCGAATATAAACTGATATAACTAATATTGTTATATATTATTTCTATCATAAACTGAATGTAAACTGATGATTAAAAAAAATAATAGAGTATAAGGCATACACTTCAAACAAATTTGTATGAAAGAAAAAAAATTTATTATTTTATATGGTTCGTAAGATATTGAACAAAACGTAAAACAAGTAAACTAATCGAGGCTAAGCGAGGGATGCAATTTTCAAAATTTGTTCGCAAAGATAAAATCAGAATGAGTGTATGTGATATCAAAATCATGAAAGCATCGATAAAAATATTTCGCAAGATACCATAAAAATATAAAAAATTTAAATAAAATTTATAAATATCTCAGATTGCATCACTCACATTGAAAACCTGGAAACCTTGAAAGCACAATTGAACAGTACAAGAAAATATTTGGAATAAGAACACTATATTGAAAGAGTCTTCAATCCTGTTTACAAACCTTAAAACATTAACATTTTTTATTGAAAATTAGTAAAGACAACTTGACGACACAGAAAAGAGAAAAAAGAAAAAAAACATTCTCTCTTACGTTCTATTGATCGCAAATTACGAACCAATTCAAATGCTCGTGTCTCTTCACGATTTGCGCTAGCTCGTTTCTGAAGTCCTCGGTCGTTTTCACTCCGCCCGAGTCGTCGACGAGGTTCTTTAGTCTCCTTCGCAAATTTTGAAACTGACCACAGACGTGAAGCACCAACATAGAGACGAAACTGTCGCTGCCAGTGTAGCTCACAGCCCCGCTGAAAGCCGATAGGACCTGACATACGTAGATCAATTCGAAGACGGGACTTTGGGTGATGTCGAAGGGAAAATAGGCCGTGCACATCATAAGGCGGGTAGAGTTGTTTCGCTGCAACTTGACGTTCGTCAAGATTCTAAGTATAACGTATAAAATCACCACAGTCTGCGTAAGCACCATGCACCAGATTGATATGTTCCGGACGACCGAGGCATTTTTCAGCATGGCTGTCCTTTCATAAGAAGTTTTCGATGCGTGCCAATCTTGGTAAAAGAACTCGACCAGTTGCTTCAAGACTTTAGAGAAATATTTTATTTTGCATATCTAGACGAAAATATTCATTTCCTTTCTTTCTATGAAAACATAATCCCCCCTCTTCCTGTTCGAATCATTTCATTAAATTCATTAAATAAAACTTAATTTTTCGCGTAATCATATTTTGCTTTTGACATTCCAACGTCTTGCCTAATATTAAATAATAAAATAATAAGTAATTCATATGATAATAATAACATTAATCTTTACAAGTAGTTTATATTATTAAAGTAAAAAATTTAAAAATAAAGATTAAATTCAATTGATTCTGTTGTTATACGTAGAGTTAAATTTGTTAAAAAAAATTGTTATTCTAATTTCACGACAAATTTATGATAAATTTTGCAAATGCAGAGATAATCAATAACAAATTGAAACTAATAGGAACTAATAAAAATCAAGACAATAAAGTTGAAAATGAACCCATAAAAGTTGCTTTTTTAGTTTTACATTATTTAGATTTTACAAAATTTTTTATACATCCAAGTAATATTCTTCGCGTTTGTACCTTTTCTATGACGCCACATAGTGACGGCTTTCATGAAAGCGTTTGCCATTGGGATGTTGGCGATCGCCAAATTCTCGGTCATCATGTCCGCGTTGCCCCAAATAAAGAACAGGTTCACCAATTGTGGTATACACATGAAACTCAGCATGAAGAAGCTGGCTGTTAGAAAACGAAGTTGGGAGAGCCCGCCTCTTTTTCCGGGACTTTGTAGCGGGTCGGGCCAGACGCCGATAAGGCCCAAATTGAATCGATTCCATCCGATCGCGAAATTGAAATCTACGCAAATCGAATCTGCGTGAAGATTCGATTAAAAAAGGCAGTACTTCGGCATATACGTGACACATATGATATCGATAGTTTCTTCTTAGATTTTAGAGATATATGATATTATGATAAACGTAAGAAATGACAATTTTATACAATATAACGAAACAATTTGTATAAAACGCATGAGCATATCGTCTCTTTTCTACCGCGTGTACCTCGATCAGCATCCATCGATATTTAACGGATGTCGACGGCACAACGACTGACATAATATTTTCGCTGGCGGTTTCTCCCCTCATCCCTTCTCTCAGGGTCACGCATGCTCCGATACGGAAAGTGAAGTTACCCTGCATACGACCGCTCTAAAGTTGAGTCGCAGAAGGTTGTGCGACGACACTTCCGAATCGATTTATCCGCTGAATATTTACTTATTCAACAAAGATAATAAGAGAGAGTAAATTACAATATCGTTAAGCAGGGACAAATAAATAGCTTGTATTACACATGAGCATGTTCTATCATTAAAAGTAGATGAGTTGCAGGCGGTATGTATAAAATTATATATTTGTTTGTTAATCATTAATATCGCTTGATAGTTAGTTACGCAGTATTCGTAGTCGTATAATTTCCATTTATGGAAATTTATGTTATTTGCATCAATTTTTCATTGTCAGCAAGGCAGACAGGTATCTCATTAATATTTTTACCACCTAAACAAAATAAAGATAATGAAAAATAAATATTTCGATTGTCGTGTTCGGTAATAATAGATAATTCCTTTGAATGCAATATAAAATGCTAACTTGGGCCGCGTTTTTCTTTCAAGACTTAATAACTCTTTGCTGAAGAATGATAACGGTAAATAATAAAATTGTTACTTTTGTCATGCGATCATTCATCATATTTTTAGTTAATAATTATAATTTTTAAATGGTTTAAAAATAGTAAAGAAAGTTTTTATTGAGTTTGATCTAAGCTACATGTACACGAGCGATTTATATGTCATCGTCAAACACATTGTATAATAAGCAATAAGAATTATTGAAAAAATACTTAAAAGGCGAATTCATTTTCTATAATTAAGGATCATGTCTGTTTCCAATTAATAACTAGTGTTGCGCTTAAATGGTTTTAAAATCATTTCTATGAGACAGTTTTAAAATCATCTAGATATTCATAAAATCATCTATCTCAGTTTTGTCCACTATTTAAACATTATGTTATTAACTTTTAGTGGTTTATATGAAAAACGGCACCACATGTATCCCTACATGAATCTTTTGATTCCGGCTCTTTTATCATATCTTATAGTGGTTCGAAATATCTGTAAAAATTCACGGATATAGTTTTAAGTTTCTAGAACAAATATCTTGTACTTTATTGTGTAAAAAACTAAAATGTAGTATATCCAGAATCTTTCAACTTGCTAATAAATTTCTGTGAATAGAAACCGTCCGTACTCGAAATACACATGTAGAGCCACTAAGGATTAACAATGCTGCGCTTTTAGATGGTTTTAAAATCATCTCCATGAGATAGTTTTAAAATCATCTATATGATTTTAAAATCATTTAAGCGTGACACTATTAATAACGTAGTGTTTAGATAGTGGCCAAAAAGTTGCGCACATGTTATATTTTAATACGTTTCACAATAGGTGTAGGACAAATATGAAAGATTCAAATTTTTATCTGTTGCTCAAATATTTCTAAAAAAGATGTATAGCAACCTTCTGGTCATTTGGTTATATATAAAACAAAAATAAATAATAAATTATGATCCTAAACAATAACACATATTAATATCGAACAATTTGTTTTAGTCACAGTGTGAAGGTTCCCTCTATCGAAGATAGTCGACAAGTGAGAGCCGATTGCACATAGGACTCATATAGTCACTGCAAATATTCTTCGATTATCGACCGTCGTTAAGAAAGAGACAATGTTCATCGAAGCTTTGATAACACAGTATTATTGCCAAGTTAATTACATTACAAATGTGCAAATACATTAATGTAACCTCTGTAATTCATCCTTAAATATATGAATATGTTCTATGAATATTCTTTAGAAATATTTGTAGATTCTATGAATATACTGAAAATACTGTTACATGTTTCTAACATATAAATGAAAATATTGTTATAGTTTATTACCTTCATAGCACACATTCGAATGACATTATAAACGTTTTATGAATGTTTAGAATATTTACTATATTTTACGAAAGCTGTAGATTAACTCTTGATTTAGTCTTTATAATTATAAAGGAATAATTTAAGTGTTTTATATTTCGTAGATATATATCTTTACTAAGCTATAATAAATGCATATTACCGCTTGGAACATTAAGAAAACTTTATAATTACATGAATGCATTGCATATGCGCAGTGAGTAAGAACATTTTTTCTATTATATGCGACTCGTTGTCTGTAATATTGTATGTATATTCATAGAATATCGGATTCAAATATCCCGTGGGAAAAATAATTCATATTTAATAAGAATATTTATAGAATATTTTATGCTATCTCATTCTCTTAACGGTATTTTGATTGAGAAATATTATTAGCACTACGTAATACAATTTAACGACAGTATATTCCGTCAATTTTAGTTGCGATTTGTAACATTATTGTTATTCGGTCGATCTCTCGTTCATCGCTAATAATACCGACAGGTAACCGGCAGACGTCTTCGAGATCTGAAAAAGGAATTGATTGGAAAGAAATCGAAATTTCTCCTTTTGAAAAATTAAATAATATTCATAAGATTAACACAATAAGTTAAATAACCTAAGTTAAAGGAAAAGAAGAAAGAGGAAGAAAAGAGAATGAGAGAATAAAGGTAAAAATCTAAAAAGTGTCAATACATACTTTGAACATTTTATTTCTATTTATTAACATATTGACTGCCATACTGATTACTATCGATTATTTTAAAGCTTATTTGAAGTTTACATAAACAAAGATATAATAAGTAAACGTTACTTATTATAAACATTACTCACGATGCATGTATTTGTTAGGTCATTTCATCCTTATCGATCCTATATTTCTCTTATCTTATATTTCCCTATAGATCCCTTATCGATCATATATTCAATTGGTTATATGCAATTGATTATATCTCATACATTAATTTTATAAATTAATGAGACTTGACAGTATCATAGAGCCGATCACTAACTGTCTTGTGGCAGTGAATATGTCAAACGAAGTGTTTCAGCGTAAAACTTACGGTACTAAACAAGTCCAAGGAGAACGGACTGAACTTTCCCGCTGTTAGTTTGAACGATATATTCGCTCGCATCATGATAATCGTTAAAGATATCGCCTTTTTCGGAGGTAAATCATACCATTCGCAATCGAACGCTGTTTGTGTTATGCTTGAACTCTGTACAAAAAAGAATTAATGAATACGTGGGAACATTAAGGGAACTGATTTTTTAATAGTAACTTAAATCTAAAAATTTAAGCTCTGTTTAAACATATCAAACGCATTAGAATATAGCTTGAACTTCCATCGAAATTTCTGCTACTATCAAAAGATCGTCCCTAAGAGGAAAAGTGGATCATTTAGTTGGCGCTAATTTTTAACTGACACAAAGAAACGATTATTTGTCTATAATTACGTGAAGAAATAAAATTTTAGAGAAAACTAAATCTTTTTAATACGATTAATGTTAACAGCAATTTTTATAAATCCGCAACAAAATTACGCAATGTGAAATATTACTATTCTGTGGAATGTTTCTGAAGACGAATTCAACTTTCAGTTTATTCGAAAAAAATTTTTTATTATGTATCGTAGAGATTAAACTCTATATAATATTTTTCATATGAAAGAGAGATACTTACTTCAGAGAGAAGTTGCTCGCCAATATAACAATAAAGAAAAAAATGTATTGTCGTGTACATTACGTGTATTGTTAAGTATATTATTTCAGTTACCGCATGGTATTGATTCATCGTCTGTAATTACAAAGTGTCGATACGTGTACTTAATATTTATTTGGTATACGTATCGACATTAATATGTATACTTATACTTTATTCTTAAGCAAAACTTAATATATATTACACTTAAATAAAATCAGCGTACTTTATATTTATTTGTTAAATTTAAACAAATATTCCGGAATACTATTCAGATAAAACAATCTATTTTATCTGACTTACTGTAATTAAGCGATATATGGTCAAACAAAACATTGCCGTACTGATCACCGTTTGCACCAACAGGGCGAGATTGAAGTAATCCTCGACGACTGTAGCGTACCTTGAATTAATCCAAGATAATAAGCAATGGTAAATATTTAGTTTATGGAAGTCTTCTCCAAAAGATTTGACCTCATATTATTGTGAAGATCATGACTCTGAGTATCTTCAGTTTCATTCCTGAATTAAAACTGTTATATAATTAGAAGAATAAACGACTAAAAATTATTAAAAGTTTCTCAAAGATCTTCTAATTGTGTAGTTTAATTCTAATTTAGTAGAGTTTAGTAGTTTAGTAGTATAATTCTAATTTAATAGTTTCTTTTGAATTCTCCAGCAGTTCTTTTTTACAGTGTCTTTATAATTTTTTTTCTATACGGGAATGTTTAAAAAATTTTAACTGATATATATATATATATATATATATATATATATAAAATTATTGTTTATTAAAAACGTATTAATATATAAATGTTTGTTAACATTCTATAATTTCCCTCGCTTTATTAAAATGTTGCACAAGCCTATAAGATGTTTAAAGAAATATTTCAATGATTTATTTAGTTCTAATTAATCAGTACGGCATAAATCTCGCACAATAATACATCTTACTTTGTACAAAATCACATGAATGATAATGAACTTTTATTTGATAATAATCTTTGGACAAACAATATATAACCAACTAAGCATTTAAACGTTGATCAGGATCATGATCTTCGATATATATTAAAGCCAAAATCATCAAAAGCGGCTCCCACAGAAAAAACATCTAAAAATTAAAAAGAAACATATTTAAAAAATATTTATTCGATAGGTGCTACTATATATAACATATTTACTATTTATATTAAATCTAAATTTCTTTGTTTAAACAGAATAAACAATTGCTTTTCTGAAAAACAACGGTTTAGCAAAGCTTTAGGAAAATACACATTTTCTTATTTAAATGAAACTTTTTCTTAACATAAAAATGTGTATATTAGTACACGTAAATATGTTATTAGTATTTCTTAAATAAATATGTTTTATCTTTTTAGATATTTTTTTCTTTTAATGCATAAACTCGATATTCACTCGAACATGTATGCTCGAACTCGCAATGTCTCTATATGTGTTCGTCAAACATAGAACTGTATCAAGTAACAAGAAAAAACCGCACTGCGAGCCAACCTATAAAGTTCTTCGTGCCTCTGCACGATGCAGCCTAGTTTCTTATAGAACTCGACGAAGCCGTCATGCTGAGTCGCAACTACCAAGTTCTTCAAATTTATTTTCAGCACCGCTAACTGACCGCACAGATGCAGTATCAGCACCGCCAGAAACGTATCGAAGCACGTGTAACAGATAGCCGTTACGAATGCCCCCATGTTCTCACCAAGCCACGTGAGCTCGAAAACGGGGCTGTTCTTGAGGTTGTACGGGAAGACTGTCGGGAACGGCATATCTGGCTCGAATTCGAGCTCGATCGGCTGGTGCATGTTATTCCAAATCGACATCGTAGCTAAGGCGATCAATAAAAGATACGTAAGCAGGGAACTCAGGATGGATATCACATGACTTTTCTTGGCGCTTTTCAACATCGCTTGCCTCTCCGCTTCTGATATCGGTCCCGTCCAGTCATCCAGCATCTGACGAACCAGTAGCGTCAGAGCTTGGAACAGATCTCTATTTGGTATACTTTTATAGTCTGCTGCTTACAACGAGACACATCCTAATTGCATGAGATATTCACGAAATTTGCGTAACATCGTGCTTAATTTAACCGATTAAAAGGATACGATAAAACGCATGCAAAATTAAATAAAGTATATTTTTATGAAACTGTGCAGTTTCTTAGGGGCATCTAGATGAAGTGAATTTTATACAAAGGAAGAACTTATGTTACCATAAGTTTATATAAAATTTTTTTCTACAACGCATCTATGTTAGGATATATTCGCCTCCGAAAGTGAAAGAAATTAGGATTTAAAAAGTATTTTCTAAAAATAACTTTTATATTGCTTGGTAAGTTTTGATAATTTTTATATTATTTTTATACTAGACGAAAGTCGTTAGAATAGTGTCGATAAATTTTAGATATCACCTTTCATAGTTCAAATGCGGTTTTCTCAAAAATGTTTTACTTCTTTAAAATCAAACAAAAAAGTCCTTTTTTAAAACAAGATTTCAGGAATCTAAGAAAGTATTTTAAAATTAAAAAATTCTATTTACTTCAAAGTTTGAAGATTAGAATAGTTTTCTCCCTGACTCTCTTGAGGTAATATAAAAAAATATATTAAATTATTGTAATAACTTCCACTTGATATAAAAGTGAAACAAAGACGTTTATCATCTGCTGCGCAATAAAAAAAAGATGCTTTTCAAATCGCAATTTCGGGGGCAAATATCTTCACATGAGTGTGTTGTTAAGAAAAAGTTTTATAGGAATTTATAGTAATTTATAGTAATTTATAGGTTTATTTTCATTTGAGCTATATGTCCCTAAGAAAGAAATTGCCCACCTTTAATAAAACACCTTGCATAAAAGAACGGATTATAAGAACCACAGGTTTGGTTTGCATATATTTAATATCGATTTATTTGCAAATATTAAATATAAGCAAACTAAACATTTGTAATCCTAATTTAACTCTTATTGATTGTTCTTTTACATGATTTTGATTTTAATTATAAACGGCCTTCTAATCACTGGCTTGAAAGAAATGCATGCAAGTACTTTTTTTATTGTATCGCAGGAACAGCTGCTTGATGAATGCGTAGAAAGTTGGCACGTTGAGTGATAGATTTCCTATTACGTCGTCCAGATTTGTGCACGTGACAAATAAGTGCCCAAAAATCGGCAGATTTACGAACAGCAGCACGATGGCGGCCGACGACCAAAATATCAGATTCGAGAGGCGCTGCTTTGTTTGTGAAGCCTTGCCAGGTTCGGGCCAGACACCCAAAAACGTCATATTGTATTTGCACCAACCCATCGCAAAAAGTACCGAATCCATCTACAGTGGATCAAGGCTCGAATCGATTTAAATGATCTTTCACAATCTGCAGTGCTATCTTCACGATGGCTGCTAACAATCACTTTACCACTGAACGTATATGAATATATGTTTTGGCAAGTTTCTGATATTAATTATTCCTGATACAAAAAATAACAAATAGTAACTGAAGAGGAAAAATACTCCCTCAGTAATCCCTCAGTAGAGAAAAGTTATACGCGTTGCAACGTTTAAGCGAGCATCGCTTGAACGCAATTTTCTCCGTAAAAACGCGAGCGTTAGGAACGTCGACGAATATCGCGAAGATAAACTTTGCCGACTATGTTCGGTAAAAAACAACGAATGGGTAGCACAAAGTTTTTTAGCTAGTATGGTAACTTCGCTGGTTCAGCAACTGTTTGTTCTCTTTGAAATTACCCAAAGGGTTGCTCATTACGCATGCTCGCCGACAGCGCTAGAATTGTCCACGGAAAAGTTTTCATCGTCGATTCAGACCGATGGAATAATTTAGAGGTACATGTGGACAGAAACGTTTTTGCTATTCTTTCAGTTAGAGTGTATAGCGGTTGTGCTCGATCAAGGACAAAAAATCTTTGAATTGTGAGACGGTCTCGTGTTATTTCAATCTGGATTTTTCTGCAACAACGGTATTGACGTACACAGGAAAAAAATATTCAGCACGTTTCGACGCGAATGCGCAGTCTTTTTTACTAGATTAAAACTGCTCAACAATAACATTCATGTAACAAACATTATCGTAAGTACGGCAAATATTATCTAAGAGGAGGTATTCTTTATAGTCAGCAGTACCGAGATGCGACCGAGTAAGATTTTCATGATCTGAAATAAGATTATAAAATTCTATGGCGAAACGTAATATAAAATATATATTCTTAACGTATGATTAATCACAATATCTTTCGCTTCTAGATGGAAGCGAAATAAAAAAATGCATTACAGGAATAAAAACATAAAAAATTAATCAATTAAAAAATATAAAAGAAAATATAAAGAAATAGAAGAAGGATTTTTTAAGTTGATTGTGTTCTGTATAAAAATATTTTCATGATTTCTTGAAATTTTGTGGATTTTAACTCTCCATTACTTTCATCCGTTTGATGGATGTTAATTCTTTGTTGTTACAAATGTGCCGTGCTGTGCTTGTGCGTATGTTGCGGTATTAACATGTATTGCTATCTAAACGCGTGTTTTTTTGCCAGTAATAAATAAAAAAAATAAATTTTATATAAATGATAAAATTAAATTTAAATAAGAATTTACTATTCATTGCATCAATTAAGTCCTGTATAAACGGGGGAACGCATTAAAACGTTGATCAATTTTATTACTAGAAGGAAAGTTTAAGTTTGACAACAGCGCAACTCGCGCCGAATGCATATATTTGCTTTCGTTGTGTGCGCAGTGCGCAGATCTACTGCGCATTAACGCTATTAGAGTTAGCAAAAGTTGTATTAATGGAATTAATAAAATGATTAGGCACACATAACCTAGAAGGTTGTAAGTAGTAATTAAAATAAAAAGTAAGAAAGATTCAAATTCAACTTTTATGTTACATTTATGTAATAAAAAGGTAAAATTTCAACTAAGCGCTCCCCTTACATGAGTATAATGTAAAATTAATAGAGAAATAAGACATCGAATTGTTTAATTAATTGTTTTAATATACTTGTCGATAAAAGTGATTTGCAGTGCAATGAATAACTTATTATGATTAAATAGTAACTATTAATTTAAGTAAACGTTAAATTAGTATTTACCTTACTAGACACTTGTAAGAAGAATATTTTGAACTTACCCGCGATTAGACAGAGCGGCGCTGTAGATCTGCGCACGATACATAGAAGGCTCTTCGCTTCCTTCTTCAGCATGTTGAACCAGGCATGCCAGGATTTACATGCGGAGAATCTCATTTCGGCATACTTAAACATTATTATTGAGTTATTCGTAAAGTTTGGCTTGATTTTTTGCCTTTATAAAATCAGTATAAATGAGTTGTATTCTTTGGTGGAAGTATACTGCTGGAACTTCGGCGTCATAAACGACGATAACAATCGTCTGGCTTGGTCGTGAACAATTCATTACCATTGTAAATGTAGTAAAATCATTTAATTCACAAACAGAAACTAATTGTTTGACTGACACAATACTTATAGTATTTAGTACATAAGAATACTATCAGAATATCCTTTAAAATTATAATATAAATAATTTCTAGTTTTAAAGAAGCGAAAGAAATCGTCTATATAATCATTAAATCAGAGTGGAAAAATTAAGATTCTGCATTCATACTTTTATTGTGTAGATGTTTTTCATTCTATTATATTGTGCTCGCGTCAAACCAATCAAACCAATCAATAGTATCCTATTCGTAAGCATGCGCATAAGAGGAAAGTAGGTGACAAAAAATATCGATCCTCAAAGAGTTGTGTACTACGTGAGGCAATGGGAAGCGTTCTAACTGGTTGCGAAATTCAATTCGACTTCGATTAGAATTATTGATTTTGTTCTTTCTTGTCGCTCCAGTATTATTTTATGGAAATTTTTTTAAAGGGGCCGACCGAATATACAAATTAGAAAAATCGAATTTCCTTTTGCGCTTTTTGTAACTTTATAGTCTTAAAATTATGTCTCTAAAGTATTTTAATAAAAATTCCTAAAAATTACTGTGCTATGCGACTTTGAAGTAATCGGTGCACAGGATGGAAATATGACTCTTGCGCTATACACGCAGATAATTATACATATAATAAATATGCAATGTTTTAAAACATTCGATTTGCTTTTTCCCTTTTAGTATCTAAATTAAGAGCCTCATATTGAAGGAATATAGTTCGTTCTCGATCATTCTTACAAATTTTAAAACAACAACATTTTTGCAGATCAGTTAAAACTTCACAATAAAAAAAGAGAAAGAGAGAAAAACATCTACCCTTTCGATCGAAAATTATGCACCGATTCAGATGTTCGTGTTTCTTCATCAGCATCAGCTTGCTTTTGAAAGCAAGGCCATTTTTATTCCACTCAAGTCGTCAGCGAGATTCTTTAGTCTCTCTTGCAAATTTTGAAACTGACCACAGACGTAAAACACCAGTATAGAGATGAAATTCACTGCCGGTGTAGGTCACAGTCCCGCTGTATTTCTAGTTTTAAAGAAGCGAAAGAAATCGTCTCTATAATCATTAAATCAGAGTGGAAAAATTAAGATTCTGCATTCAAACTTTTATTGTGTAGATGTTTTTTATTTTATTATATTGTTGTGCTCGCGTCAAATCAATAAAACCAATCAATAATATCCTGTCGTAAGCATGCGCACAAGAGGAAAGTAAGTGACAAAAAATATCGATCCTTAAAGAGTTGTGTACTACGTAAGGCAATGGGAAGCGTTCTAACTGGTTGCGAAATTCAATCGGCTATAAGCCGATCTGATACACCTAGATCAACTCGAAGACCGGATTTCAGATGTCGAAGGTAAAATAAGCCTGCGTACATATTAGGTGTACAACTTTGCTTCCGCCGTTTTTTTTTCCGAAATTCGGGGCTTTATTGTAAAAAACTGGTTATATATTTATGATTCAAAATATTGTCCATCGTTGGCCACTACTTTCTCCCATCTTTCGGGCAGCGTACGAATCCCGCGTCGAAAAAACTGGTCATCTTTTGAGGCGATCCACGAATCGATCCAATTTTTTACTTTATAAGACCGGAAGTGCTGGTCAGCCAGGCCGTGTGCCACTGATCGAAACAAGTGATAGTCAGAGGGAGCAACGTCTGGAGAATACGGCGGGTGGGGTAGAACTTCCCATTTCAACGTTTCCAAGTATATCTTGACCACTTTCGCAACATGGGGTTGAATATTGTCATGCTGCAAAATCACTTTATCGTGTCTCTCGTTGTATTGCGGCCGTTTGTCTTTCAATGCTCGGCTCAAACGCATCAATTGCGTTCGATACCGATCGCCTGTGATTGTTTCAGTCGGTTTTAACAGCTCATAATACACTACGCCGAGCTGGTTCCACCAAATACAGAGCATGACCTTGGAACCGTGAATATTCGGTTTGGCCGTTGACGTGGAAGCATTGCCAGGAACTTCCCATGATTTTCTGCGCTTGGGGTTATCGTAATGAATCCATTTTTCGTCCCCAATCACAATGCGATGCAGAAATCCCTTGCGTCTTTGCCTTTCAAGCAGTTGTTCACAAGCAAACAAACGCCGTTCAACATCTCTCG